ATGTCCACTTTTGCAAGAGCTGTAGAAATGGCTGTCAAAATCTCTCGTAGCCCGCTGTTCATGGATGTGGCAAAAAAACATTCAGTAACGTCCTCGAAGGGTTAGGCGAAAGCGATAGCAACGCGATGAAAACGGGCCGCCGCTCATTCCTAAAACTTGTCACAAGCAGCGCAGCACGTCTGTCGTGAAGCGCAATGAGGGTGCGGGCCGCACAGACACCTATGCTAACAAAATTGTCAAGTTGCCTTCAGCGACTGCCTCACCGTCACGGCACTCGTCTCAAACGATATCAACCAGGACACTTTAACGCGGGGGCAATGTGATTATGTCGGCCGAAGCACGAAACGTGTCGAGATATCTGTCATCAGGTTTTTTTGCTGCTTTGTCTGTCGAGAACGTCATGGGGCGCTGTCGGGGGCAAATTATAGCACCGTATTCACGTAAAAAGTCCACGCCTATAGATGAGATGTCGCGAGCATTCAGGAAGTGTAAAGCAGCTGCAGATAAAGCTGCGTCCGCTAATGCCGACTCTAGTAGTCCACATACTGAGAGGGGTTAGGACGTGCCTGCCGGCTGTGGGGATGTGTGTTGCGTACCATAACGTACCAACTTTCTTGAGATGCGTAGCCAGTTTTCTGCTCATAATGAATTAGTCAGACCCTGTGTCCATTAAAGCACTAGCATCGGTGTGGTCGTCGAGCACTGCAGGTACGTCTAGGGAAAGTGGGCTTTCTGATTCGGGAGCTGTCGTCGTCGAATCGCTGCTGGTACCTACTCGCAATGATGGGAGCCCTTTCGCGTGTCGTTTATCAGCGGCCCCGCCCCCGAAGGTCGCTGTCGTTAGTTTTCCCGCCTAGGGCTGAGCGACAGCACTGGCGACGCCTCTGGGTAGTACGGGATACTTGACGAAGACTTTCTTACAAAGGGTGACCGTGACTGACACCGCGGGAGCAGTGGCATGCGCTGCTCGGACAGGTATCCCTCGATCGCGCTGTGTCTTTTGCCAGATCTTGGCCAGGGCGAGTCAACAGCGAAATCTGAAGTCCTAGGCGGCAGCGCTGGCATTCGTGGTATACATGTCCGGCTTCGCCACAGTGGTAGCACAGCGGCCGCCTGTCCGGTGTGCGCCATACGTCCAATTTCCGCGGGAGGAGCTGCCGATTCTCGAAATGCTAGACTGGTTGGACTGATGGAAGTGCATCGTGAAATGTAGGGTGTACGGAACGGTGTGGAGGGGCGTAACTGCTCGCAGGCTCTGCGTATGATGCAGGAGGGACGTAACTTCTCATAGCCTCGACATATGGTGCACGGCGAGGCTCCGTCGGTACAGGTGGAGAAGCATCGCTAGAAAGCGGGACTTGCAGAGCCTGCTGTACTTTACTATATAGATGGGGCGGGAGATAGATCCGGCAGCAGGTGGTGGCGGGCCGTGAATCTTTTGCAACTCGTCGCGCACCACTGATCGCATGAGGTCTCAGAGAGCTTCGAGGCTGACGTTACTCCCCGCAACTCCAATTTGGTCCACTGGCGAAGCAGCAATGACATGGCGGTCGTACACAGCCAATGGCTGTTGCAGCATGTTTTGCACCGTCGTAGCTTCAGTAAAAATCTCCGCCACAGAATTCAGGTGACTTCGGACGAGACCATCGAAGAGCTGCTCCTTAACTCCTCGCATTAGGTGCCGCAACTTCAGCTCGACGAAAAAGGCTCATCATGGCCTCCACGTACGCCATCACGCTTTCGTTTGGAATTTGAATGCGTGATTGGATGGCCCACTCCACTCGTTCACGGCATTGGGGGTCGGCGTAACTTGCCAGCAGCTGACGGCGAAACACCATCCACGACGAGAAGGGTTCACGGTTCTCGTACCAAGTACGAGCTCCATCCTCAAGGCTGAAGTAAAAATTCCGCAGCTTGTGGCGTCGGTTCACTCATTGAAAGCAGCGACGCGTTCAAATTAAGTTAACCAGTCCGTGACATCCTCGAAGATGGAGCCAAGGAACACCTTGGGCATTCGTGGCTTCTGCAGCATGTAATTAGCCATCGGAGTATTTTGCGTACCACTCTGGGGTGGTGCAGTGGACGCCATCCCCGGCAGAGTTCCATGCTCGAGAAACAATCCTTGGATTCTCCGACTGGCCCGTTGGACAGGCCTTGTGACTGCAGGTACAGAGCTACCAGCCGGCATTTGGATCATTGGCTGGAAAGGCACAGCACATACACCAGTTGTCACGTGTAAAAAAAAATGGCAGATCCCGCGTACAGTGGCAATCGATGATATGCGATGCAGGAATGAAAAAGGTTGATATGTCATTTTAAAATCAGCACAACGTTATGATGTGGAGGTAAATGATTCCATACATGACTTCCGTGTCAAGAATACCATGTTTAGATGTGCCGTTTGCCTTTGTCATCTATTCACGTCACGTGATACCAAATTTAGTATATGTGGAGCTAGCGAAACGATCGCGAGCACGCTGTGAGCGTGGTATGTTGTCACGCTTTTACTTGACACGTGTATCAGGGTTAGCATGTTTGCACCAGTCATATACTTTTGTCATCCATTGACGTCACTTAACACCAATTTTGGTATATGTGGAGCTAGCAAAATGGCCGCGAGCGCATCATGAAGGGCCCAATATACTCCAATGTAGCAATGACGCACGCGCGCGCTAGCCAAAGGCGTTAGCAAAACGCAAGCACTCTATAATGTGACGCCAGGCGTGACCGGTGCGACCAGCGTCTGTCGGTGCGGCCCGACGGCAACCATCGCGAAATTCTCGCCGATGCGTTACCCAGACAAGTCTTCATCTTTAAGCGACAGAGGGACGCCGGACGCGCTCAAACGTGCATGCGTCAAAGCAGCTTAGCACGGCGTGCACCTGCGAGTATATGGTAGAACCGGCACCAGGCGGCGCAATGCCGATGTGACGCGTCGAAAGGAACGCCGGTGAGCACGCGCACCGCCTCACGTCAAAACGTACTCGCGCCTTGACTGTGACATGCAGTCATGTTCTCACATAACACACATCTCATGATTATCACGTTTGCGCCAGTCAAATAATTTCGTCATACACTTCCGTCACTTAATGCCGAATTCGGCATGTGTGAAGCTAGCAAAACGGCCGTTAGCGCATCTTGAGTGTGGCATGTAGTCATGTTGTTACATGACACGAATGTCATGATTATTATGCTTGTATGTGCCGTTTACCTATTTTGTCCGTTCGTGTCATGTTTGGTACATGTGGAGGTAGCGAAACGGCCGCGAGCGCATTATGAGCGTGGAATGTGCTGTTAGATGACACCCATCTCGTGTTTATCATGTTTGCACCAGTATTATACCTTCGTGATCCATTCACGACCCGTAATACCAAATTCGGTGTAAGTGAAGCAACGAAACAACTGCCAGCGCATCATGAGCGTGGCATGTACTCATGTTGCTACTTGACACACATCTCATGATTCTCATGTTTGCACCAGTCACATACCTTCGTCTTCCTTTCACGTACCGTAATACCAAATTTGGTCTATGTGGCGCTAGCAAAACGGCCGCGAGCGCATCATGAGCGTGGTATGAAGTCATGTTCTTACATGACACGTATGTCATGATTATCATGCTAGGGTAAGTCGCTTGTGTTGGGCATGCAATCAAGTCATACCATACCAGTTTCGCAACTTGCCATGTGAACCAAAACCGCCGCAAAAGCTACAGCACCATAAACGTAAATCATGACATTCATGACATAAATGTCAGGATTTTCATGGTATGACTAGCCAACTCTGTTGTTCATACAGTCATGTTATGCCATACCAAGTTTGGTATTGATTCCATTACTGAAACGGCAAGGAGGGTTAAAGTCGTAGGCGGCTAGATAGATATCGACGCTTAAAGTCGCCGAAGTTCACTAAGAAACGCTTCGCATTTAAAGGCGACTTCGCGTAACGAATACTGCGTAGTCGCAGAGGACGCAGGTCAGTGACGCAACACAACTAAAAAGGCTCGGCGAAAGCACGCGCTGTCCCAAAACTACTTTCTCGTTTGTTTTTCATGGATGCGGGATCGTGCTCACCGCAGTTCATGGCCAGGTGGCAGTATAAAAAGATGTCTGATTCTGTCTTCTAAGAATAATTTGCCATTGGTAAAACCACGTCAGGCTAACAATAGCTATTGTTTAGCCTTAAAGGACTCCTCGACAACTTCTCGAGCTTGGTAAAGCAAAACATTGCACGAACATCATACGTACCGATGCGCAGTTCGTAGAGGCAAGCCGGGCTGCCGCTTTTTAAGAGCGAAACTCTTTAGGCCTGCCGTTCGCTGTTGCCGTCGAAGCACCCTGTGCAGGTCAGCACGCCTAAAAAACAACAGGTGCGCTACCAATGAGGCGCAGTGGGAGTGCAGGCGTGGCGGAAAATGGCTCGCGCTGCACTGCGCACACTACACTACTTTTTTCAATAATCCTCTCGGAACGTGGTCCTTACTCTCGTTTAATCTGCCGGCCGCTGTTTATCATGAAACATATTGCTCAGGATCACTGACATAAACGAAAAGCGGCGTTTGAGTCGGATGCCTTCCTTAGCACGGGGTACCGCCATAGGCTGTAGCACCACTCTGCACTGCACTAACATCAGATTGTAAGAGCAGTAGCGCGCACCGTGAGCGCATAAATGATATAAGAACACGTTCCATAATGCGCGCTAACGAAAAGTCTTGGCGCTTTGACCTCCCTCTTGCGTAGCTACCAGTGCGCTTGAAATTTCGTAAGAAATTACTAAAAGCATGTGCTGAGTATGCGCCAAATCTCTCATTCCTGAATGTTTTAGAAAATGTTTGTGACATCCCAAATGCGGGGCAATAAAAACTGACACTGAAGTCATTCTATGACAGCCTTATTGCTTTGTAATGCGCGTCAAGAACCTTTTACAAGGCCACTACGTTTTCGCGGAGCGCTGCTTCTCCAAGTCTTTCATTACACATGCAAGAAGAAAACAAAGCACAACAGTACAAAACACGTGTCTCCTTTATTTACATTCAACACTGTCATTCACAGGATGTACATTACCTTAGCACGTACAGCACCAGGTCTTTTTAGCATTGCGTTGCGGACTGTTCGTAGGTTTACCGTAAAATGAAATTGTAGCACTTTGATGTGCACGAAGCAATCAGCACAACCATGAAAGATTGCCCCACCAAAAGCCCTGTCCCGTGGTTAGAAAGACGGGTCCTCATTGAAGTCCCGGGAATTTGCATTTCTCTAACCTATTTGAAGGAAAACAGCGACAATGGCAATCAGGACCCCAGTGTTTAGCAATGAACTCACCTTAAAAGTGTCCTGCAGACGACTAGCAGTCACATATATCTTTGGAAGAATGGGGTAACACGTGGAAAGGACGCATGTTCGCTGCGAAATTTGGTGCGTATCTGAGGGAGAACATTACTGCTATAATCATAGGCAGTTTCACAAACACATCCAGCATGAATTTTCAATTACCGAAATAAATCTACAGCGTTGAGATCTTCTGATTGTTCTTAAACGATACAGTGTATTGTGCGAACTATATAATAAGGCGTTTTGTGCAGCTGTTCCATCCACGAGCAATGAATAAGGCCCACTCACGCTAAAAAAACGTGCGCGCATGGTGATACTGTTATATAATAAATATTGTGTGCGCAAATGGGAGGGGCACTATATGATTACTAAGCACAAGCATACTCTAGCTAAGCTAGCGCTTTTCGGCTTCAGCATATTTCCCTCCAACCAAGAGTAAAACAGAGGAATACGTGATAAAGCACTGTAGACGTGATAAGCACGTAATAAAGCACGCTCGGTGTCAAGGAAAACTACAACTCCAGTAAGCATAAAATTTGTATTGTGTGCGCCATGCAGTCTTCACCATTCATAGGTATGAAGCTTTTGTGCTTGGCAGTTGTGCGAATGTCTACGGTAATGACCGGATGAAGCGCACTAAATCACTGTTAATGCTTGTCGCTGTTCGTCTTCCGTTTGATGCCCATAGTACCCGCATAAATACAGCCTATTAAAATGTAATAACTGCTCAGTGACTTGCGCGAAATGTTGCACATGTTTTCTGCTGTTTACAGGGCAAACAGCTGAAATGTGATTGCACACTGTGTGGCACTAAAGGCAACGACTTCCAGAAAAGGCCTATTCTAGCTAGGATACTGGTCTCGTTCTCATGATTGGAGAAAAGCATTAGTGCCGTACCAGTCTGTACAATGTCGACAGAAAACTTTTCCTCAAACCACTGGAAGTCCTTCGTGCTGCCGCTGCTGAGCGTATGAAATGTGTAGACGACGTGCGTGGTCGTCCTGCAGAGCAAGCGTAGGCGATGCCACGTGCTCGTTCTGAAGTGCAGTCGTGGCAGGTGAACCGTGGTAGGTTATGGCACCCGGCAAGTCAATACTATGGCGGGCTTGCGGATACAGTCTCTGGCCATAAACCTGCGGCGCATCAGGAAATGATGGTGCTGTGGGCGGGGACTGCAGCGGGGCTGCGGGTTTTTCGCGCAAATGAGCTGAATTTTGGCGTGAGATAGGTACACTGGATTGATGACGCGGGACCGGTGAATTCGTGGAAGATATGGTTGTCCAATTGGAAGCGACTGCGGGGGAACTGCTAGCCCAGGTTGTCCTGGTCGCCCGGTGAGCGGAAGTGAGTTTGTTAGGAAGTAGTTTACTGTGAGGCCTTGCGCAAGTGGTTGGTAGCCAGGAACTGAAGGTGGAAGTTGCTGCGGCTGTTGGGAAGGCAGCGCCGATGCACCACTGTGCCCGTAGTAGCCACCTGGAGAGTAAAGTGGGAATGGATGAGCGGGAAATCCCAAGCTCGCTGGGTGCACTGTGTTAATAGGAAATATGTTTCCGACGTTTGGGGTGTTCTGATTTGTGAATGATTGCGTCCCAGAAACCGGTAACGCTGCCTGATGGAATGCGTTAGGATGCGGTGGAGGCTGTTGTGTGGGTTGCTGAGGGTACCCACGGGCTGGATAAGGTTCGTCAGTTGATAATGTACCATCGGCTCTGATTAGGGCCACTTGAGGCACTAGTTTGCCATTTACTTCTTTTGTTACCAGTGCAGCACCCTTGGCTCGATTGTCCATCGGTAAAGGCGGTGTGGCATACGGCACGCCTTCAGCGATGGACCGTATGGCGAATGGTAGTATAGTGAAGGATGGTTCTGAAGATAAGGTGCGGGAGCAGAATGTCCTAAGTATACAGGACGACCTAGTTGAAATATATTAGGGCTGTACTGACGGAGAGCAGGGTGAGAGTCCATCTTCACAGCTCCCGTGGGCAACAACGGTGTTTCGAATTTTCGGGCGAGGCGTTTGGAAGGCGGTAGCCTTAGAGATGCTGATACTTGTTCTCGTTGTGGTTCCTGTGCATGCAATTTATGGTCGGAGCTCCTCTCTACTTTCGTCTTCGGCTCACTAGCAGAGGAAGTCTTGGCTGCCATGCTGGCAGCCAAACTGCGAGGCAGAAGTGGTGGTAAGGGTGAAAGTCTTCGTAGGAGACGTGCAGGTGGTGGAGACACGATTGGCTCGCGAGTGCTCTCCGAGGGCGTCGAAGGTGACGCCGATGCTTGGACATCGGGAACCACGCTGGAGGCAGGGGTGGCACTGTCAATGACGACCGAGGGCATGGCAGTATCTCGTGTTCCAGGCTCATTCGTCTGCACTTTTACACGAAATCCAAGTTCATCGGCCACGTATTCGACAAGCCTGAGGCGACCATCAGTATCGCGGAAGCCATAAGCACCCGTCTTGCGTCCGAGTGCGTCACCTGATTCTTGTTGGAACTGGTCCCATGCCATGCCATCGATGTTGAAGCCGAATTCATAGTTTCCATGATCCTGCAAGTGGAAAAACGTAACCAAATAAGACCATGGTAATAACCTAATAGTTTTTATTAACGGCGCATACCAGAATACAGCTCAACAAGCTTCATAGCTTATTTTGGGAAAATGGTACTATGTTTGAGAAATCAGGTGTGTAAATCATAATGAAGCATAAGTACGTGGTAGTTAATTTCTGTGCAGTATAGTGTACTTGGAGATATAGTGAATCCCGGGAAGGAACAGTGTGTACATATTTACGTGAAAACACCTTAAACAACTCGTGTCCCCGATTGTTTTCGTAGTTCGAGGGATCGAAAAAGTATTCTTGTTGGCTGCGAGATGCGGGCATCCGCGGCTACCTAATTGTTGCCCATATAAGACGGTGCCAGATATTGCGTGATACTTTCATCAACACTTGATATGGAAATTTATGGCACCTCTACACTGCATTTTGTTTCTAACCAACTGAAACTAGGACAGACATAATACATTTCCGTGCGCGAAGCAGCCATCCGATAAAATTCACCAAGTTGGCATTGACCTACACCGTTATACCTCTAGATGTAATAAAAAAAAGACTGGCGTACACAGAAATCACTACCTGCCCTTGCCTCTTCTTTTTATGACACTTCTGTATACCTATAATGCTAAACTTAACCTCGATGCTCAATGATAGACAACAGCTAGAGGAAATGACTTCTTTCACAGCTTGCGACTGTACATTTATTTGCGGCTGCAGTTTTTCTGACTCTAGTAAAACACGTTTTTAACAGGACATGCATGGCACTTTCTTTGTTGTCTGATGGTTATATCTGGTCAACGTTTTCTGAAAGTGTATATCGACCATGCCCCTGCTTAAACTAATTTAAGTGATTTTAGCAAACGTTTATTTACCCATTTACGCCATAAATGTGGAAAACTTCGCACCTTGCCTTACACTTTCGCGACTATGCCTACCCCATCGATAGTAAGTTTTCGATGTTTACAACTTTCATAATTGCCCTGTTTCGAACGCTTTCGGACCCCTTGTGCTGTATACCGTGTAAAAGAAAAAACTTTTTTATCAGTTTTGCTTTTGTGTTGATTTTTTTTACTGTGTGGTGATTCTAACGCGCATTAAAATGCGCGTTAGAATCACTTGGACTGCAAGAAGATCCAACCAGTCCATCCTAAAGGAGATCAGTCCTGGGTATTCATTGGAAGAACTGATCCTAAAGCTGAAACTCCAGTACTTTGGCCACCTCATGCGAAGAGGTGACTCATTGGAAAAGACTCTGATGCTGGGAGAGATTGGGGGCGGGAGGAGAAGGGGACGCCAGAGGATGAGATGGCTGGATGGCATCACTGACTCATGAACGTGCCCAGTTTCAATCATGACGTCGACATCACGTGTGACCACTTCACGAAAACAGCGAATTTCGGGAGTTTCGTGCATCTGGGTTGAAATATGCAAATGACGACAATAGCACAGGCTCGGAAGACGACATCGACACTTTTGATTTCAGCGCGGACGACAAGAGTTCTTCAAACCACCCGGCAACATCAGCGGTCGTCCACGGGTAAGTTTACCTTTGTGTTCGGGCCGCGCTATTGCCTGCGCGGATCGGTGCAAGTTGCTCTGATGTGTTTCGAAGGTTGGGGAATTTGTCTGCAGGGCGTTCACTTCCTTCGGGCCTGACTACTTGCCGGCGGCAGCGCAGAGAGTGCAGTTTTGTGCGTGGAGGCAGCCGGGAGTGAACCTTGCAACCGGGTTACGTATAGTGCCGCGCGGCGCTTCATGACCGCTGTCGGCTTTTTGTCTTGTGCTGTTCAAGTTATAAGGGAGCTGTGCAAAAGCAAAAAAAAATTATGGTTGGATGCATAATTTCCAGAAGATGACGTGCAGCGAAGGAGACGGTTTTTGGAGGTCCCACAGTTCATATTTATGCTCCTACACGAAACGCTCCTCGGAAATAACGGTACCAGCCAAAAAAATATCAGGAACTGTAAATTATGCAATGAAAAAAGAAAACTAACATAGAGCTAGCGTTTTCTGTGAAACATGAGTAGCAAACCTGTTTTACCGCATCGCGAAACTGCATTTCACGGAGGCATGAAAGACACCATACGTGCAATGTTATTTTATGTACACAAAAGCTTTTGAATTTACAGCGCTATATTTGCAGAATAATTGTGTGTGCTCCTTGCGCTCACAATAAATATTTCAATTTTTTATGGTCAGCTTTTTCAGAGCAGTGTTGATAGTTTTATATAATTTCTTTGTCCGTGTTTACCATGTTTTTCGTAAGATAACTTTTCGTACTATTTTTAATAAATTGGTGGTTTCAAACTGACTGTGTGTGAAAAATGACTTCTAAATGTATAATTTTAAAAAATAAACAATAATATCAGACACATTGGGTGTCATAAAAAAATAAGGTTTCTGGACTACCCTAAAACGGCCAAATTTCTCGCGGTTGCGAAAGTGGTGAAATATACGGTGTTTTTGATATTTTCTAAACGTGACTATACACAAACGATAGGCTGGGCGGTGTTATGATCGGCCTTCCTGGCTTGGTGCCGCTTTGAAGCCTTATACGTTGTGGCTGAGGCTACCCCGATTTCTTCCGTACCAGTGGTTCTAGAGATGCACCAAGAGCGCCAACAACACGAAAGTCGTTCATCCAATTAATTATTCCTGGTTGTCAGCAACTCTAGTAAAACGCTTTGGGCACGCCTGGCTGACTCACGAATTAGAAAGAGTTGTTGGCCGTCGAGGCAGCTTGCTTTGTCGTCAAGGTGCTCCGGGAAAAGGGCCAGTGTCTGGGAATCGTCTGCGGATGCATTTCCCACTTTCTCCATAGTGCCTAATACGACTATTTCCCCAATTCCTGGTCTGCCCTGGCGCCGCATACTCATCACTGCAACGGTTTACAGAGTTGATTTCCACGTGGGACTCTATGTCTTCGTGCTGTGCTGAGCCATGCGTGGTGTGCAGTGTTTTCTCTCTCGCTATGGGGTGAAATTGGCGTGCCTCTTCCCCCTTTCATGGGTTGGGAAGAAGGTGGCATTTCACCTTCCCCATTCGAGGGCGGAGGTGAAGATGGCAAAGTTCATTGGACTGTCCTGGCCCCTATTGTTTTTTTCCTGCGCGGAATCATGGGAAGGCCAGGACACAAAATGCTAGCACCGAGACGCTTTCAACAAGCTCTCACAAGTTCCAAGAAGCTAACAGAAGCTCTAGGGCTTCCATGATGCTAACCTCATCATTTAGCAACACGTTATCTGTAAATATTGTAAATGAAAGTAACTGTTAGCAGCTCCCAGCTCCTCTCCTCCACATCTCCCCGATACTCTAGCTGGCTCCTATCCTGAAGGCAGACCCTTGAACACATCAACTGGACGGCACCGGTGTGATGCAGCTGACAATTGGAACACATCAACTGGTTAAGGTAACGGGATTACCCATGCTTGAGCCTGGCCTTAACGATATGGTCAGTGCTCGACTTTCTTGTAGTTTTTCTTGGTTTTAGCTTTCGAAGATTTCTAAAACTGTGTGTAATTTTGTGTGCATGTAGGCTTCGTTGTATCGCTACCATACGTCACAGCTACTCACTAAATTTTAGCTTTCATGTTCTAATCTGGCATTTTTTACCGTGCATGTGGGCTTCGCTTGTTCGCTACCTAACGTCACGGTGGGTAGAAAGTGTTCACTCGAGAAGCCCATGGAGTTGGTAAAGAAGCTAGAGATACCAGATCTCTTTCTACTGTGTCAAGAGCTGAGAAGTAAGGTGAGGAGAGATGAGAGAAAGTGGCATGTGCTTGGGGCAATTCAGAAGTGCGGTGCGAAGGATGCTGAAATTGAGGAGTTATGAGAAGAAGTGGAAATACAGAAAAAAGATGAGGAAAGAAAGCGAAGATGGGTTTAGGAAGACAGGATAAATGAGCAAAGATGATTGGCTTGAGGAATTAATCATGCCTCAAGCAACCCAGCTAACGGTTGTACCTTTCGATATGAAAGTGAAAGACAGTCCTGCCAACTCCAGAGCTACAGTGAACCACTCACAAGGGGAGAAACATAAGTTGTGTAAGGCTAAGCCGGTCGTATGCCACCATTGCAAGGAACCAGTTCACATAGCGATCGGCTGCCGTAAGCCTAAGAGTATGCTCTTTTTGGTGGACAGCATCAACAGTACTCAGGAGCGATTGAAACCGCACGTTCAGGAGTTCGTTATGGAGAAAGCGTTGTGTGACGTAACGAGGGAATCAGCCGCAATACTTGACACTGTACATCTTTTCTCCGTTAAAATTCAGATGACCACAGGGGAACACGGCGTGCGAACGGAAAGTAGTTGATTAGGAAAATGTGTGTTTGTTGTTAGCCCGCTTTGAGGGTCAGGGACCGTTTATACTGCTCGCAACGGAAACTGTGGTGTCCCAAAACCTGCTCGAGCATTATCCTTCTCAGAATGACGCGGATATGGTTTTGAAAGGCTTTTATTTTGGTGACAAATCGGCGGCAACTCTGGCGCGTCCAATGGCCTCTGAGTCCGCTCATGAGGATGCCGGAAACAGAAAGCGCTAATAAAGCAGACTCTAAAACTCAAGATGATGGCGCGCTTAGCTTATCACGAGAGGGAGACGCGCTTAACATAGAGCGAGATGATGAATTGCTTAGATTATCGTGAGGTGATGACTCTCAAATGGAGACATCTGATAGCGAGCGGGCTGGTTTAGCACGTGTTCATCGTAGCACTGTTTGAAAAGTGCAGGAGAGCTAGAAATAACACAGAGGATAAACTACTTGAGCTGCCAGGAGGTTTTAGCAGGGTACTTCCGAGTATTATTGCTGAGTCGGTGAGCGTTTCATGCCGCCCCGAAAGAAAAAGGCGCCGGCGAAAAACGTAAACAGAACACGAAAAGTCATAGTTGTCTCGAGCGGGGGCCAGAAATCCCGAGAAAATGCGCTGCAATTCAAATGTTTAGGCTCCAGCGGAAAGCGAGATTTGGCATTAGGAGCGTCGCAAAGGCGAACA